GCATATAATAGGTGCATTCATATATCTAAAGGATTTTCACCTTTTGAGATTGTTTACGGTTTTAATCATTTAATTCCGTTGGACCTCACGTCTTTAGCTTTGCAGGAAGTTCAGGATATCGATGGTCAGCGGAGAGCAGAACTTGTTAAAGCCATACATGAAAAGGCCAGATGACATATCCAAAAAAAGAATGAATCCTATGCACGACACGCCAATAAAGGAAGAAAGCGAGTAGTGTTCCAACCCGACGATTGGGTATGGGTTCATATGCCGAAAAAAAGATTTCTCAATCAGGAAAAATCTAAGTTGGACCCCCAAGGAGACAAACCTTTTCAAGTTCTAAAGTGTATCAATGACAATACCAACAAAATTGATCTCCCAGGTGAGTACGGTGTGTCTACTACCTTTAATGTTTTTGACATTTCCCTTTTTGATGCAGGTTCAGATTCGAGAACGAATCTTTTTGAAGAGAGGGGATGATGTGAGCAGGACATGGGTCAAGTTGGTGGAGAGGATATTTCAATGTCAAGTGGGCCCATTGTAAGAGGGAGAGCTAAAAAATTACAAGGTTTCCAACTTTTTATCCAAGCGTGGATCAATGAGAAAAATGAGATTGGACCCATTAAAGAAGCCTAAGAAAAGATGACAACATGACATTAATCCAAGGATATAATAGTATATTATATTCATCCCAAGTGCAAGAGGAAAATAAACAAGAAAAGGAAAAAATTCTGCAAGATATGAAAACGAAAAATTCTCATTGAATTTTATTTCCTAATCATATGGAAAATCTTCACAATTAAATATCAACCAAGAGGGAAAATTGCTCCTAAATTACAATCTATCTTGAGAAAGAAGAAAACTCCTTAAATGTCAAATCTCGCAGAAAAGGAAAATACTTGAGAAAGAGGAAAATATTTTGGCAGAATCTTTTCCCCTAAATCAGCCACAGTTAATTAAGATATTTCCTATTTAAAAAGTTTTCTTCATAGGGAAATCATATCTATACTATTTTAGTTGTAATTTTCTTAATTCTTGCTAGTTTTCCATTCTAGTCTAGATTTAATTTCCTATATAATTTTGACCATTAATTAAGAGATTATTTTTCCTTTATTATTCGTATGGCCTACACTATAAATATACATTCAATTTAGAGTTGTAATTGAATTCAGAATATTCAGCTTATTAATAAAATTCAAGTATCCATTTTTAAACTTTTAACCTTGCAAGAGTGAGCGAGTGGATGAGTTTTCGACCAACTTGTTGTGGTAGGAATTGGGATCACTTATCGAGATAAGTCTCATGGCGTCTTTTCAATTCTATTTCTTTATTTATTTCTCAGTTACTTTAGTCTCATGGCGCACTCTATTGAGTGCGGGTCAAGTAGGGAGGGTTTGGAGTTTCTGATTGCTGATTTATATGCGGGGTTTTGAATTCCATTATGGATCCCAGGTTCCGCATCACTTGTCAGTACACTAATACTCAGACTAAAAACCCATTGCCTGACCATGGCCAATTCTAAAATGCACCACATCTGTCACAATGTTAATCCCTGCTAATCCTTTTCGAGAAGCTTATCCAATTAGCCTATCCATCCTTACTATCTTCTAACCCTCTAACCATATCATGTTTGGCAATAATCATTTCACTCCAAAAAACCACTCCAACAAGCCATAAATTCCCATAGCCATTTAGCTAATATATGTTTGCTCTCAGTTAGGAATCATATATCAAGACCCTCCTTCGTAGAGAGATGCTTAAGAGACTTCCAGGCCACAAGGAAACAATACCTATAATTTGGAAGTCAACAAAGGAAAACAAAATTGATAAGACTCAAGTCTATATGCAACATCAGAAGGCATCAAAAAAGGAGAGGAAGTAACTGCAAAGATTGATAAAATACTTATAATATGAGCAAGCCCTCAATATGTAGAGAGAGAGTTCATCTTCCAGCTCCTTGTCGAGCTTGCAAAGAATAAGCTGCCACTTAGCACAAAAAAAGGGTACTTTCAAAAAGAACACAGAAACTTGTCAATAAATCCTTCCACCACGATTGACTTGTTCATAGTGATCCTAGGACCAAAGCTGAGACGACCCTAGAGGAAATCACAATTTTATCAATTATTTAACAAGACCTCTTTCCCAGGCCTGCAAAACCAAAAATTGGAATAAACAAATAATAAATGGGCCACCTCCCTTCTTGAGTTATGCTACCATTGGCCAACCTTGAATGAGATTTGTATGCTCTAATCCGCTTGAGGAAGATTTCATTCAATCTTCCAGGGCCAGGTTGAAGAAGAGTGAGAAGAAATCCCATGTTAAGATCATTAGAGTAAAGGGATAAACATACTCTTACATTTAATATGTTATTAAATTAGTCATATGGTTTCTGTATATCAATATAGTATCTTGTATCATTAGGTTGTAGAATCCTATCCTTACAGGCAAGAGATTATAGAGCCTAAATGATAGAAAAATGTAAGACTAGTGATATAGACAAACTATATTACAAATTTAATGACAAATCAATTAAAAGAGTATATTTATCTCTTCATAAAGGAGTGAATGAAATAAAAAAGGCTCTGATTGAGTGAAACTACAAACAAGGGGGTAGCAACACATCTTCTTGTCCGCTTACAGTATCTCAGCAAAATCCATAAAATATAACAAATAATCAAAAAATCGAAATATATGTGATCATAGGCTTTCTCAACCTCTAGCTTATAAAAGATTCATTCTCCACACTTAAGAACATAAACTACAACCCCAACAGAAATCAAGGCAGCATCAAGGACTTGACACAAACCATATTGGCTCGCTTTACCAATCACCTAACCCAATCTTTAAGCAAGAACTTTCAGATTGGTCTTTTTCCCTTCAAACTAATAGGGAAAAAGGTCCCTAGCATCTCTTCTCCTCCCACCTTGGGGATCAAATCACTACTTACAACCCATTTTCATCAATGACACCCCATTTCCTCCTCATGCGATCATTATAGGAGCAGAATCTCAACATTACTCCCAAATTTAACGAACATCAATGTGGAGTCTAGAAACCTCTTTCAAATATATTGAAAAGGCAATTCAAGAAGCAATACCAAACATTTGGAACACTAAGATATTAAATTAAAAGCCTAAAAAAGAAAGTAAAAATGTCACCATCCATAGCAAAAGGCAAGCACAAGACCGTTGTATGATGAAAAAATGGTGCAATACAAAAGCACTTAACTATAACTACCAAAAATCTAATTTGTTTGTTAATTTTATCTCAAGCAACAAGCTTCAATACAAGTTCAATGAAGAACATTATTACCTGAAGATGTTTTTCGTCTCCTCAGAAGACTATCAAACCTGTCTTTTGTGCTTCTTCCCTCCTTATAAAATGCATTCTTCAACTTTGCAATTGTTGACTCGTATATATCGACTTCCCTATTGACCATATCTTCCACAAATCTTGCAAGCACTGTTAACCTACACAAGTTACAAAGTCCAATGAGCAATGCATTGGCACTTTGTTCAAGAGGTGAGACTTGATTCTCAACCATATAGTTCCATATATCAATTGCCATTTCCGGATCATCCTCCTCTAAGGCCATTGTAATGGCTGCAGCACAATTATCATGGGTTGGAGGGGCCTCATTCTTTATCATCTCACACAAAAATTTATGGAGTTGGCGAACCCTCTTGTTCTTGACCAAACATTGAAAAATCATGTTATAAGTCAAAGAATTAGGGAAAGCTCCATGCAAAACCATGTCATCAAGGAATTGGAACATTTTCTGGATATCCTTATTATTGCATAGCAATCCAATGACAGCATTATACATAACCAAATTAGGAAGCAGCCCGCTGCCCACCATTATATCCCACATCAAGACAACATGGGTAGAATCACTTTGCTTAACAAGAATATCAAGAGCATTTGAGAAAAATTTCAATTCTGGCAAGCAGTTGTTGTCTTTCATTACTTGTAACAACTTGATGGCTTCATCTGCCTGTGACCCACGAAAAAGCATCATCAAAGAGGCACTGTAAGCTGACATGTGTAACTTGTTCCATCCAAGGCACTCAATCATTTCATCAAAAGTACTCTTGGCTTTCACCAAATTGCCTTCCTTCTCCCACCCTTCAAATAGAATAGTGAAAGAATCCCCATCAGGGAGGATCTTCTCTTTAATCTTATCCAAAACCTCAAAAGCCCTGCTTGTTTGGTTGTCCTCAAGGCAAATTGCACTTAAAAGTGCATTCACCGCTATGATATCCTGTTGGATGCCATATTTATGCATCACATCAAAGCTCATAACAGCCTCATTGAACCTGTGCGCCATGCAGTAGCTACTGAACACAGAAACAAAAGCGGCAGTGGACAGCACTCCCTCTTGCCTCATGGAGCGGATGGCATCCCACATTGGATCAAATAACTGGTTTTTACCCAGCAGATCCACCATCAGATTCCAGGTGTAGGCCGAGTGCTTCTGGGAGCAGCTAGACCACCGGAAGAATTTAATGGCCGAAGAAGGAGATTCGTAGGAAAGCTTAAGCACTTCTTGGACAACTTCAGGTGCGGGGATTAATCCGGTACGAGAGAGTGCAGATTCCACTTCGTGCGGAGAGGCCCGGGTAAGGATTTCGCAAAAAGTTCGAGCAGTTGAAGAAACAGCTGGCGCATCGAGGTAAGTTGGAAACTTATGAGTTCGCAATTTGGGGATTTCTTGTGCTTGTTGCTGATCCGTTGAAGTTTCCGTGACGGAGGAAGAAGATGATAATGAGTTTAATTTGAGAGAGTAGTGGATTCTTGTGTCAGGGTTTTCAGTCATGATGCCCATTCATATCGTTGAACGAGAACAGAGAAACCCTAACAAACATAAAAATGGTACGAAATGAAAAACGAGAGGGAATCCATAATCGAGTTTGAGCACTTCACGCTTATAAATTTTCGAATTCAGAGATGAAACATATGGAGGTTTTTAAATCAGGTAGTTGCTACCGATCAAAACACAAGTAATCGATAAAGATACATGTACTGACCGTATATGCAGATATGGCAATCAATTTTAAGACTTACTTTCTTATTTTCTTCTGTGCAGCGGCAAAGCAAACTGAGGAGGCCCAGAACCCGAGTATTGAAAGCTTCAATGGCCGCACGTAAAGCCGCAATGCTGCTTCTTCTTGTCTCTCACCTGTACTCTAACGGAATGAAGGCTCAAGTAAAAAGCAAGGAAGTCAGTTAAATACAGTACTTCTCAAATGTTTTCAAAAAGTCATGTAATATTGAAGAAAATAAATAAATAATATTCGCCTCTATGTTATTTTTAGATTTAAATAGAATTTAAGTTTTAAAATTTTATTCAATAGATTCTTATCATTAACAATATATTTAATATCAATAATTAAATACTTATATAAAGTTATAAAGTGTAAGCGTATTTTTTATCCCATAAATAGATGTCTAACAGTATTAATTATGTCATTAGTAATAAAATTTATTTAAATCAAAAAATTATTTAAAAATATTAATAAGTGTACTAACAAAGTATTAGCATTTTGTCGCTACAATTGAAGAACCCAAAGATTTATCAAAACTCATATCGAACAAGTTAATAGGGTTATTAGAGGCTCATGTGTAAAAACTCTGAATTTAAAAAAAATAAATTTATATTATAAATGCGAAAGCAAACAATAAAATTAGGATTTACATTTCTTATACAGTAAATTAGAGTGTCCAATAGAGATCCGGAAATGTCTATTCTACAGTGGTTTATAAAAAAAAGTAAATAAATGATTGAAAATAAATAAATAAATGTCATAAGGGATTAACCTCCACTAACACTTAGAGAAAGGTTTGAGAGGTAAACTACTTACAACTCTCTTACTGATCGGGTTCTAGATTTTGGTTTTCTTGATCTGAAATGGTTAATAGAGGAGTGAGTTACACTATCCCGATAAGAATATCACACTAATCACTAATACAGAAAATAAAGGTTGATAAAAATCATAAAATAACTAATTGAACCATTAATTTAGATAAATTCATTTAACATAAAACTGTTATTCTCATACTTATCGTTACGAGTTTTTCAAAACCGACATATGAAGATAATAATCCGAATATCATTTTTGTTACATATTTACATGAACAATGAACAGTAAATTTACCTTCTTACCTGTGTACCAGTATTTCTGGGGGTCCATTGAGATGTCTCCCTATGAGTGGACCCAATATCATATTTGTCAATTAACCGGTCGTTCCCATATCCCGTTTAGCAACGGGCGCCAAACATACCACTGCCTCGATACCCCTTTCCGATATGAGGGTAATCTATACCTCATAACCCCTTTCAGCATGAGATTTCTCAGTCCCATTCGACTGAGATAATGTCCACAATAGGATTTTTCTCTATATATCGAGTCCGTCCACCCTTTCCCAAGATACCTGATAAACATTTCATACATGGGTTCGCATCATCAACCAATTACCAATCGCATACCAATATCTCATTTTATAATGACATATCAATAGAACGACATTTAAGCAAACAGTACAAGTTTATACTTTAACAATTAAGAAAAGTAATTAAGACATTTATTTCAAATCAGTTAATAAATGAAAATAACAGTTAGGTAATCAATAAACGACAATGCAATTAAACCTATGAATTAAAGTGCATGCGGTAAGTAACAACAACAGTATAACAACAAATGAACAATATATATAGAAGAAGTAATTTCGTACTAACCAGTTATGGCTCCACTAGTGATCTATAATCATTTTTAGGATTTTTTTAATTTTCACACAATATAATATTTATTTATTATTAAACCTTAATTTACCGTAACAGAGAATAGAGTGAGGGATTCTTACCCAGATCAGTATTTCAAAATATTGTAATATCTCCTACGCCTCTTAACATCCGAATTTCTTGAATTTTTCCTGCAAAAATTAAAATATTAGTCACGTACTCAAAAATACATCAAGAGGCCAAAATTGGTGTTGAAAAACCTTTCTGACAAATTTTAGGGTTTCGGCACGGTGGCACCATTGTGCTCCAGTGACAGTTCCGCCGTCCACAGCAGCAATTCGCTTCAGCCTGGCAAGTTTTGGTCAATTTTGGCCCGTTTTACACGTATTCTTACGAAAAAATACGTTAGAAAATCTCGGTTGGCCAAAAAAGTCAAAAAATCAAAACTTACCAGTAGGGGTCTTTGGGTGTGACGGCTTCGCCGGTCCTCTTTCGCGGCTGAGGTTCCTCTTTGGCTAACCTGCACCAGAAAAAGACAGTGAACACGGTGGTTAAAGAATGATGTAAAACAGGAAACGGGAAGGGGGTCATCAGAGAGGGTTTCGAGTTTTGGCCGTGGTGGCTCGACTGAGCTTTTTAGCTCACCCGTCGATCATTTGGCTCTAATATGATCACAGAGAGGCTCGAGATTAAATTCTAAGCGGAACAAAAAAAAAAGTACATGTTTTGGTATCGGCAGTGGCTCGGGTGTGGCGATGATGGCGGTTGGTTTCTTTTTCAGCTGCGCTTCTTCTTCTTCTTCGGCAAAGGCTGGTGCAGGTAGGGTTAGGGTTCTCTGAAATGTGATGCTTAAATACCCTCCCTGTGTCGATCTGGGTTGTTCGTGCAGGGACACGCGATCATCTCCCGTCTGTTGGATTCCTCTTATTCAGAGAATGAATATGGGCCACATGATCAGATTGAATTTGTCCGTTCGATTGCACTTAAAGTCGAAACGTATCTGAGCCGTCCATGCGCGTGTGATGTGATCTGGACCGTTGGATTACCAAGCACGCGAATCACCTCCGTGGCACCGATATCAACGTATTTTGTCATGCGATGTACTCTGGTTGTTGTGGTTGCTAACTGAGCCGTCCCTGTGGCCGAATTTTTTTTTTATTTTACCCTATATTTTCAAGTTTTCTTTCAAAAGCACCCATCTTATTCAAAATTTAACATTTTTTTTCTAAAATTATTTTTAATGTCCTCCCTATTTTATTTTTTTCAATAATTTAAATAAAATTAAATTAAAATAAAATTTTTAATTATTTATATATATATTATAAATAAAAAAATCATCCCGGACCAAATTTCTAAGCCTAAGTGTTACATCTCTCTCCTCCTTAAAAAAAAATTTGGTCCCTCAAATTTGTTGTCTTTTTACTAATCAAATAGTTGGGGGTACTAGGCTCGGAAGTCTAATTCTAGCTCCCAAGTGACCTCTTCCTTCTCGTGATTCTACCATAAGACCTTGAGAAGGAAATTTTTCTGTTGCGAAATACTCTACTCTTCCAGTCCATAATGCCTATCGGTACATCCTCATAGAATAGATCATCCTGCAGTGAAAGTGGTTCGTGAGACAGGATATACGAGAGGTTTTGGTTGTACTTATGTAATATAAACACATGAAACATATTATGGACTCTAAATAACTTTGGAGGTAGCGCTAGCCTATAGACAGACATACAAATCCTATCTAAGATTTCAAACGGTCTAATAAATTGAGGATTTAATTTTTTTCTCTTACGAAATCTGCTGATTCCCTTGAAATGGGTTGCCTTAAAAAATACTCGATGGTCTTTCTTAAATTTTAAATCTCTTTTTCGGGTGTCTGTATAACTCTTCTGCTTACTCTGAGTTATCTGGATGTTCCTTCTGATTTTAACTATCTTAACTATAGTCTCCTCTACGAGATTAGGACCAAATAATTTTATATCACCCACCTCTTTCCAACAGATCGGTGACTTACAGGGTCGGGCATACAATGCCTCGTACAAAGCCATGTCGATACTTGCTTAATAGTTATTATTGTAGCAAACTCTATCAATTGTATGTGATCATCCCAATGACCTCTGAAGTCTAAAACACATACTCGGAGCATATCCTCTAGTATACGAATTATCCGTTCTGATTGTCCATCAGTTTGAGGGTGGAATGTAGTGCTGAAGGACAGTTTCATCCCCCATTACTTGCTGAAAACTAGATTAAAATCAAGATATGAACCTAGGGTCTTTGTTGGATACCACTGTCACCGGGACTCCATGTAGCCTAACTATCTTCTGGATATAAATTCTTGCTAGCTTATCTAAGGGGTCTTTTGATAGCCAAAAAATGAGAGGATTTAGTAAGTCGATCAATAATTACCCAGATAGCATCATATCCTGAGCGTGTATTTGGCAGTCCTGTCATAAAATTCATAGTGATATGTTTTCATTTCCACTCCGAGATTGACAATAACTGAAATAACCCACTTGGGTGTTGATATTTTGCCTTAACCTACTGACATATATGGCATTTGAAGATGAAATCGACAATTTCTCTTTTTATCCCGCTCCACTAAAAACGAGATCGCATACTTTAGTACATCTTAGTACTTCCGGGATGCGTGATAAACTTTAAGCTATGGGTCTCTGTTATGATATCCCTTTTTAGTTCATTTTCATCTGAGATACACATCCTATCTTGGAACTTGAACATTCCATTGGTAGAGACTCGGAACTCTGAATTTACTCTCTGTTCCGTATTCTTCCTAAGAGCTGCTAGAGTGGAATCGATCAATTATGTTTCCTTTGTTCTCTGAATCAGTTCGAGTTAGACTGTTAGATGAGCTAGACATGTAATCCTTTTCAAGTCCTGAAGCTGTATTGTTGCACAACCCCTATTATCCTGCATTCAGAAACTATTAAATGAGACAATATACCTGCACTTTTTCTGCTGAGCGCGTCGGCTACCACATTGCCCTTACCCGGGTGATACAAAATCTTACAATTATAGTACTTGAGGAGTTCCATCCAATCCCTCTGATACATATTGAGATCATTCTAAGTGAATATATGTTTTAACTTCTTATAGTCTGTATAAATCTTAGAAGTCTCTCCATACAAGTAGTGACATCAGGTTTTCAGAGAATGAATAATTGCAGAAAGTTCCAAGTTGTGGGTGAAGTAATTCTTTTCATGATTCTTCAATTGTCTGAACGCATAGGTTATAATGATTTTATATTGTATCATAATACAACCCAACTCCAGATAGGAGACATTACTATACATTATGTATTCACCTGTCCTAATTGGTAGAGCCAACACGGGTGCAGTAGTCAACCGCTTATTAAGTTCTGTAAAACTCCTTTCACAATCCTTATTCCACTCAAATATGACATTCTTTTTTGTAAATCGGGTCCATAGAGAGGTTAAGGTAGAAAACTCTTCCACAAACCTGCAGTAATATCCTGTCATTCCCAGAAAGCTATAAATCTCCTTAACTGAAGTTAGTTTTTTCAACCGAGTATTGCATCAACCTTCTCGGGATTCACTAACATCCCATCTTTTGATAGTATGTGCCCTAAAAAGGTAGTCTGCTCAAGTCAGAATCTATACTTGCTTAATTTTGCATACAATTTTTTTTCTCTGAGAACTTAAAAAATTGAGTCAGGTGATGAGTGTGTTCTTCTTTGCTCTTTGAATAGATCAAGATATCATCAATAATGACAAACTGATTCATTCCAATTACAAGGTAATCGTAGGTTAAGTATTTAGACCTTGTTTAGGTTCAAATTTTAATTCTAATTGTGCATGTTTAAATATGGATTGCATGTTAATATTGAGTTTCGTATCTACATACCGTATGTGCTTTATTCTCAACCATTTAATTGAATGAAAAATTGATTTACAATTAATAAATGTCATAGAAAAACAACATAAAATCTTGCGCAATAAAATAATTTATTTTTAGATTACAAAGAGGAGCCCCATAGATTTTGACAGGATAAGGACAACACTCATTAGTGTAAATATTTTTGCAATTTGTCCTTCTAGTCTTGTGAATTTCTTTTTAGATTTTTTGATCATATTGCTTGTTTAATAAGCAAAAAATAAAATATTCCTAAAAGTTTAATTCAATGTTAAACGAATTAATGTAATCAGTCACTAAATAGTTTGAGAAAAATATTTACCTGTGATAAGTATGTCATCAATATAAATTAAAAAAAATTTAATATAACCTTCTGTAATAGAAAAAAATTTATCCCTAGCACTTAGAGAAATATTTACCTCTATAAAATATTGTCATATACGTCCATAACAATTTTTTACATCATATTATAATGAAAAATCAATACTATTATGTTGACTAAGAAAAGAAAGTTCTTTACTACTAGTATTAGAATAATGTTCGAACGAAATGACATGAGTAAAGTGAATCGATTTGATGACATGCACCTTCCTTTTTGTTCATATTTATTGGAGAAATATTGACTTGTGTAACATTCGAGATATACTTGCTTACTTTTAATTTGTATGATATAGTACAACTCAGTGAAAAAAGTTATCTAACTTAGAGTTTTCTAATTAATAAGCTGATTAACTCTGGCTTGGATTTCATCATTGAATTTTTAGTTTTGTTTGTCACTAATTAGTCATTGTATTCATCATCATCATCATCATCATATATATATATATATATATACTTTTTTTTTCTTAATTTCTGGATCATGCGTGCTCAGGTAAATTGAATACTTTAGGCACCGAGGATATTTTGAATAAAATGTATATATAGCTTAATATTTACAATAGTTCTCCTTAAATAAAACAGTAAAAGTAATTTTTATATAATAAGTTATATATGCATGCAGTAATGTTTAACCATTATTTCATGATTAATCATTTTTTGATATTAATTTTATTTATTTCTTACCTGCATGTACGCCCTGTTTTGTTTCTTGAGAAAGAAAGAAAGAGTTTGCTAATTAGCAAAGCAAGCTTGGCATATATTTTTCACTTTTAAAGAATAAAGTGGCAATTAGAAGATTCCTTATAGTTAATATATTCTTATACATATATTTATAACTAAAATATCCAAATCATTATCGACTGATATATTTACTACATTTATATGATATATATATGTATAATTCACGTCAACATAATATATAAAAATAAATTATCAACATAATAAACACTAATAATGTTAATTTTAGAGAGCTAGCGAACACATCGTATAAAAAAAATTTCAAACATGATAGAAAATAATAATGTTAATTTTGCTGAGCTAATCAAGACCATTTTGAAACCTCAATAGTTCTTTCAACCAAAAAAATGTGAAGTAACCCATATAAAAAATTAAATAGTAGAGAGCTTTTTCAAGTGTGTATATTATATACATACATATATATATATATAAATGCTTTTGAAGTAGGAAAAGAAGATACCAAAACCTTCCCTACCAATTAGAGCTAATTCTATACCTTGCCAATCCGCTTAAGCCTGTGTACTATGGTTGATGAAACTTAACCTCCACATAAAATTAAGACATTTCTAAACCTCAAAACCCAATCTTTCGTTTCATCTTTTTGCCGGATGTTGTCAAAATCCTCTGCAAACCTCCAATGCCCTCATCAAAATGGCTGGCTAGTTCTCGCCAAGGTCAACGCACCAACCCACTGGTCTGGTGTGCAGCCATAATCTGCAGTATCATTTCTGTCGCCGTCATCATTGCCGGCATCGTCGTCTTCGTCGGCTATATGGTTGTCCATCCTCGAGTTCCATTCATCCGCGTCATGAACGCCCATCTCGACCTTCTCCGCTACGATTATGCCGGCGTGCTCGAAACCCAGATCACCATCATCATTCGCGCAGAAAACGATAACGAGAGGGCTCACGCCACCTTCTCCAAGAACTTGTTTACTCTGAGCTTCGACGGAATGAGTATTGCTCAGCTGGTTGCCGGGACTTTCGATGTGAGGAAAAACAGTTCGGTGGATTTTCATTATGTGGTTCAGTCGTCGCCTATACCATTGGATGAGGAACAAATGAAGGTTGTAGACATGGCGTTGAAGGAGGATCAGATTAGGTTTAATTTGAAAGGGAACTTCAGGGCTCGATGGAGAGTAGGCTTGCTCGGTTCAGTCAAATTCTGGCGAGGCTTGAATTGCGACCTCCGTTTTCGTCCATCTTCTCATGAATATATCAATGCATCACCTTGCAGCTCCAAGGCTAAATAAATAAAATATTTATTATTATATATTCCTTTTGTTTTCTTGTTTTATTTGTGTACGATTAATTATTTCATCATCTCCTCCACTATATTTTCTTGTTCTCTTTCGTTTTCTTTTTTTTTTCTAAACCATAATTTACTTTTTGGTAATTAATTAATCTATAGATAAATGTTAGTGTTTTTCCTTTAAAACATTCCAAAATTAATATAAACTCAAATAAATTTGATTTCATTGTAATGTTACTGTTTTTTTTTTCTTTCTTTCTTCTTTTAAGTTTACCGGTAAAATTACATTTGAACTAAATTTTTATATGCTGAAACTAATATTTTATTTAAAACGATTTTAGAGTTATACTCTAACAATGATTTGTTGTATTTAAAGTTCTATTCAGATAGTGTTATCAATAAGAATACAAATAAAATTAAGCATATATATTTAAACAATCTATTTTGTTCTTTTTATTCATGCTATTATAAGAAAAATGATATATAGTAGTGAAATTTTTTAGTAATGGACAATTTCTATAACTTAAGTTTGACCTATGTAATAGAAATATGTTAATATAGGTAATATTTCATTAATATAAACACTTATGATATTTTGTCAGTAAATGTCAACTTATACAAACAAAAATTATTTGTTTAGGTTTTCTTTCTAATAACAAAATAAATTCATTAGTAAAAGTTATGTTATGCAATCACTTTCCATTTGCTTAGGTACTCAATAAGACTTGTCATTCATATAAAATTATTAGGTTTATGAGGTTATGTAGCCCAACCCAAATATTATCACACCTAAAACCAATTATTTTTGAAAAAGTTCAAGTTTAATATTTGGAACCTAGAACCAACTAAAACAATCCAAAAAGTAAGTTTAAATTTAAACTTATTATAAAATATTACAAAAAAAAATATTGCAAAAATTATTACCAAATAATCAAGAAATTCATAAAATTTCTCTAGTCATGTGCACACATTTCCTTTCTTCTCCTATTAATTGAAATTAAAAAAATCCATTACTGAGCTGAGCAACAACTCCTCCATTCTCCTTTTAATCTCTCCTCCAACTCCTCTCCCCTCAATAACTCCTTTTTCTTTATCTTAGTTATTGTTAAGTTGAGCAGCAACTTCTTCCTTCAACATCAGCTAAGAGATTAGTAGTTTACGCATCCTCCAACAAGTAGATTTATTGTCTATTGATTTAAAGAGTAAGTTCATTTTTAATGTTGTTCTCTATTTATTTTTTTTTCATTGAAAACCTTTTGATTCACAAAACATGCTTAATATTTAAATTTCAAATTTGTTCTATTTTTCTACTTTTGCAATTACTTATGAAGACAGTAGAGAATTCTTCATAAAACTGACTTATTTTTTTTTTATCACTTGTTAACAGAAACTTTAAAGTTTTTTCCTCTTTTTATTGAAGCTTTTATAGTAAAACCTGCAACATACTGACTTATATTCTGAAGATATTACTTATTCCTTTTTTAGTCCAAAAAATAGGATATGTATCTAACATGAGTAGCTTTTGTTATCTAAAGTGAAAGATTTCAGATTTTAGATTTCGACATAAAGTCTAGATCTTTAAAATGGGG